CTGGACTATTTACATGTGTTGCTAGAAAGCTTATAGTCAAAGGTGTGTTCCATCATCAGCACACATTTGTAAAGTTTTGTTTTATGCTATAAACTCCTTAAGTGGTTTCTGGGATAAATGAACGGAACAAGTGGGTAATAAAACTATGAATTTAAACATAGTATAATAGAAAATTTGGGAACTGTTCTTTCCTTTCACCGTGTCTCTTGCTTTATTCATACATATTCTTCTAATTGAAAATTCTTTCATCAATAATCCATAATGCCTCTTTCCCCAAATTTGTGGAACTTACGCTTGTTCTGAACACATAAAAATGGCAGTATTTCCCGAATCCTGGGACAATAAAACTGGTCCTAAAGAATTATCCTAAAATTTATCTAATTTATGAACATTAATGCAGCAGGTAGAGAGTGGAATTTTCAATAGTAAAGCTTTTAAAGGGTTATTTTTCTCAGAACTGCATACATTCTTAAAGATCACATAAGTGTTTGAAAAACACATTACCATTTTGTCCAGGACAGGCCCTGGACTCAATAAATAAGTGCTAGGCTCAATGGAAAATGATTTTATCATAAACTACAGCTGGAAGTTGGTGGTTCAATCATTTTCAGACAAATTTCTTCAGGTCATAATTCCTGCACTCCAAAACAATTTGTCTGCACAGGAAACATTGTACTTCAGAACCATCAGCACATTATATTAATTGGGGCTGTGGTTTCCTGGGAAATTATGAGCTCTTACATTCTCAGACTCTCTCTAGTAATAGCCATGTATGAGGGTAAATAGTAGAGAAAGAAACAGAGAGGGAAGGAAAGAGAGGGCAGAATCATATGATGAACTTCTCATTCACTTTCTAAATTTATTTTAATTCTTCGAAGTAAGCAATACTGGTTCCTAAGAAAATGACCAGCGGAAATTTCACCTTGGTGACTGAATTTGTTCTGTTGGGATTAACGGATCACCCAGAGCTTCAGCCCATCCTCTTTGTGCTGTTCCTGGTGATCTACTTGATCACCGTGGGAGGGAACCTTGGGATGATGGTGTTGATCAGAATAGATTCACGCCTCCACACCCCCATGTACTTCTTTCTTGCCAGTTTGTCCTGCTTGGATTTATGCTACTCTACTAACGTGACTCCCAAAATGTTGGTGAACTTCTTATCAGAGACGAAAACCATCTCCTATGCTGCTTGTTTAGTCCAGTGTTATTTTTTCATTTCCATGGTGATTACTGAATACTATATGCTAGCTGTAATGGCCTATGATAGGTACATGGCCATCTGTAACCCTTTGCTTTACAGCAGCAAGATGTCCAAAAGAGCCTGCATTCGCCTGATTGCTGGTCCATATGTCTACGGGTTCCTCAGTGGCCTGATGGAAACCATGTGGACATACCGCTTGACCTTCTGCGGCTCCAATATCATTAACCACTTCTATTGTGCTGACCCACCACTCATCCGACTTTCCTGCTCTGACACTTTCATTAAGGAAACTTCCATGTTTGTGGTAGCAGGATTTAACCTCTCCAACTCCCTCCTCATAATCCTCATCTCGTATATCTTCATTCTCATTGCCATCTTGAGGATGCGTTCTGATGAAGGCAGGCGCAAGGCTTTTTCCACCTGTGGATCCCACCTGGTGGCCGTGACTGTATTTTACGGGACCCTATTCTGCATGTATGTTAGACCTCCCACAGACAAGTCAGTGGAGCAGTCCAAAATAATTGCTGTTTTCTATACCTTTGTAAGCCCTATGCTGAACCCCATGATTTATAGTCTGAGGAACAAGGATGTGAAACAAGCTTTTCGAAAACTGATCAGAAGAAATGTGCTTTCAAAGTAAAATCACAGTGTATTTTTCTTTATAAGTCAAATAAAATATATTTTATACAAGAACTGGATCCAAGTTTAACAGCATTAATGATAAGGTCAATTTTTGACTTCATCATGAGAAGCTACAATGTAATGATAAAATATAAAGAACAGAAATGGAAGTTTTATGGTTTAACATTTGAGGTGTGAGGGCACATGTGTAAGAGAGAGGGTAATTAATCTTCTTAGTTCTGCATCATGATATTACATATTCTGATAGTAAAACATCCCATCTTATCTCTTTAGAAGAGTGTAAAGTGCAAAAGTAAAAAAAAAAAAAAAATTCCCTTTCTTCTCCCATCACAATCTCCTAGTCTCACTTCCCATAGCACTGTGAACAATTTCTTAAGTTTCCAAAAATTTTATCTAGATCTACCAACAGCTGTATAGGTATATATATACACATATACAAAAATTATTAGTGTATGTGTTGACTGTCATAAGCTAATTTTTAGTGGTTGATGATTTCATAGGATTTAGTATTCAGGAGATTCTCACTATGATTTAGAAAATGTGACCATAACTGCTCATTAGATTTACCATCACCCTTGGAAAAGAAGCTCATAAAACAGGTGCTTACCACCCCCATACTTCACACTTGTGAGAGACACTCACAATGACACTTGCCTCCTCCCACCATAACAGGAAACCAAAATCAGAATCTCCAAACAATTCTTTTGAGATTTTCAACATCTGAAGTTGGCAAAGAATAGCTCTTGCAGATATGCATGGCTGTCCTAGCAGGAATTGTGACTTTTGTTGAGTTATCAATACCATTCCACATTCTTAGGGTTTGTAGTCCTTCATAGTTCTGTTCTCTCTCCCCTGTTGATCTATTTTTTGGATGGGATAAATATTTGATATTTGTTCCTTAGCTGATATTTTACCCATAACTGTGCAATTAGCTATTATTTATCTAACTTGAGAATGAAAACGTTCACCAGTTTTTAAGAATATCAATGCTGGATAAAACAGATGGCAACTTGATATTTTAAAGTATGATATATCTGGCAACTCTGAAGTTTTGGAGCATACACAACATTAACGCAGGCTTAGTTTATTGAGAGTCTACACTAAGCCAGATACCGCCCCAGTACAGAGAAGTGGGACTCCAGAATTGTATAGTTTTGTAAAGGAGATGAAAACGTAAAAGGAAAAGCAAATACAATTTTTACATGCTATAATATACTATCGGAAGAAGGTTGGGCAATCCCACTTCCGTAGTGATACTGCCTCAGAAACCCAAGGAGGGGTGGCTATGAGTCGGGGCCGATTCGACGGCACATAACAACAACAACAACAACAACAACAACAACAACATAATATACTATACTGCAATGCAACACACTGCCATAGAGTCAGATCCGACTCATAGTGACCCCTCCTTGGGTTTCCGAGGTGGTATCACCAAGGAAGTAGATTGCTCAACCTGCCTTCTGAGAAGGACCAGGTAGTGTATTGTCCTGTTGTACATAGGGTCGCTATAAACTGGAGCTGACTGGAAGGCACCTAACAACAACATAATATAAGCATATGGAAGGGCTGATGTAGCAGAGAAAAGGATCGATTTATTTTGAGTTAAGTTGAGACTAAAATAAACCTCTTGCCAAGGAATCAATTCTGACTCCTAGTGACTCTATAGCAACTCTATAAAATAGAACATAATTACCCCATAGGATTTGCAAATTTGTAATCTTTACAGAAGGAGCTCTGGTAGCATAGTGCCTAAGGCACTTGACTGCTAACCAGAAGGCTGGCGGTTCAAACCCACCAGCCACTCCTCGGAAGGAAGGTTGGGCAATCCTACTTCCGTAGTGATACTTCCTCGGAAACCCAAGGAGGGGTCGCTATGAGTCAGGGCCGACTCGACGGCATATAACAACAACAACAACAATCTTTACAGAAGCAGACTGCTTCATCTTTCTCCATCAGAACTGTGGATGGATTTGAACTGCTGACCTTTTGGTTAGCAGCCAAATTCTTAACCTCTGCACCATCAGGGCTCTAAATTGAGAGTAACATTATACAAAACAAAAGCTTCTTCACCTCTTATGTACCCCAAGCCCCATCCATCGCTTCAAGCCCCATACGTTGAAGATAATGTTCAATTTAAAAGGAAAAGCCACAGAACTATAATTAGCCACGGCGACTAGTTGATACATTCTCCTTAGTTGTATTTCAAAGCTCCTGTCTCATTTAGAACTGATTTCTGCTCAATATTTCTTACAGGGTAAGAATTGCAGATCCCTTCATTGGATTCATTCCATCAATTACTTCTACATTTTTGTCTTGCTAGTCTTATTTAATGGCTTCTTTCTGAAAGTCAGATTGTCTAAAATTCTGTTCAAAGACACATGGAAAGATTTCTGCTTCCGCTCATGCCTAGACATATTACTGTTTAAACACACACATCTACTTAATTATGCAGTCCTAGCATTGTTACTATCACATTTCTGTGCTCAGGATCTTTTACAGCTTGGCACAGTTTTTGACACCAAATAAACCTCTATAATAGTTCCAGCATTAAAAATATAAAAGTATCTCCATTTTGAAACTGAACAAAACACCTCCATTTGAAAAATATCTTTGAATTCACCAGAAAATGGCCCTGAGACAATACATTAGTTAGTTATAAGCCAATTGTCCTTTTCAAGTACTGACTTCAGCAATATGGAATCCATAGTTATTCCCACATACGAGCGTGTTCAAGATCAAAGTGGGATTATACCAACCGCTTTTATGAATTGATTGGCTGGCTAGAGTTGCATCACTGGTCTGTTAAGATAGTCTATTTTGTAATCTATATATCAGAGTCTGGGCATAAGAATTAGTGAATAATCACTAAATGTTTATTTAACTAATGCACTGTTTCTGTAGACCCTGACTTTAGCAAAAACTTCAGGAATAATTTCCTTGTTAATGACAAGGGGCTCTCATCTGAAATTTTTCAAAGAGACCCCTAAATCCATTCCTTTCTCCTTTTAAAAAAAATAATTCTCTTGGATTCAATATTTGCTGAGGATACTGAGAAAAATGATGAGGAAAAAGTCTGAGAGAAAATAAAATACTTTTGTAACTGCCTAAAAAAAAAAAAAAAAACCTAAACTCATTGCCTTCCAGTTGGATCTGACTCATAGCGACCCTCCTTGGGTTTCTGAAGCACTATCTCAGAAGTAGATTGCCCAATCTTTCTTCCCAGGAGTGACTGGTGGGTTTGAACAGCCAGCCTTCTGATTAACAGTCAAATATGTCTTAAGTACTATGCCACCAGAGCTCCCAGTAATTATGGTAGGATATTTTATAATATTTTTCTCCATACCTCTCTAAGAGATCAAGGATCTCTGATGACATAGTGGATAAGGCATTCAACTGCTAGCCAGAAGGTTAGTGGTTCAAACCCACCAACTGTTCTGCAGGAAGAAGAAGAGGTAATCTACCTCTGGAAAGATTTACAGCCTTGCAAACCCTATGGGGGTTGCTATGAGTTCAAATCAACTTGATGGTATTGGGTTTGGTTTGTTTGGTTTATCTAAAAGATAGTACTGTAATAGGTATTTCTGAAAGTAACATATATTCATGTGAATATTCTTAAATAATCAAATGGTGAATGGAATGGTGATGCCACAAGTTTAATTTTTTTTTTCTTAGATCAGATGATTTATTGGGAGAATTGGATATCTGAAGAAGGTTTAGACACACGTTCACAAAGGAGAGAAAGAAAGAATTATGTTCACCAAAGTTCTGATAAACTTCTAATCTCTGTTGTTCACTAATCCTGCCCACAACACCATGAGTTCAGTATTATAATGCCCAGTTTAAAAATGAGTAAATGGAGACCCATAAATTAATGTATAATCACATTGCTTAGAAGAGTATTCATGACTTCCTGGCTTAAATGTTTTTTCCCCTTCTATATCATAGGTTTTCTATCACACTTTGCTGAGGGGTAAAATTGTGCAATGAATACAATCTCTGTCTTCCAATATATTGATAGAGTATTTGACAACTGTATGCACACTGAATAATATAATTCACTGTGAGAATATTCTCTATTTTATAATGCTCAGAAGGCATTTGACTGCTAACCAGAAGGCTGGTGGTTCAAACCCCCAGCCACTCCTCGGAAGGAAGGTTGGACATCTACTTCTGTAATGATACCGCCTCGGAAACCCAAAGAGGGGTCGCTACGAGTTGGATCCAACTCCACAGTAGTGAGGTTATATATATATATATATATATATATATATATATACACACACATATATATGAAGACAAATTCAACTTGTTGAATAAAGCGAACTTGTCAGATCCTGACTCCATCATTTATCAGCTGAATTATTAGTAAAAATCAGATTTCCTGGACAAGTTGCTCACTGTTTTTCTGCTTCAGTTTTCTTTTCCCTATGAGGAAGATAACAGTGCTTTCACACATGGATGCTATGTAGATAGATTAATATATATGAAACACCGAGCACAGTGCACAAAACAGCATTGACTCAAAATAAATTAAAGCTTGTTTTTATCATTAACTAGAAAGTTATGTTGACTATTTGAGAGAAAATTTTACCCCTTAGGTTTATGTATTTTCCCTTTAATGCACTTGCCACTCTTTATAAATAGCATACTTAGATATTTGTTTAATATTTCTATATTATTTGATTAATGCCTATGTGCCCTGTGATACTATAAATATCACAAGGTCAGGTTTTGCAAACAACCAATTATCTATTCCTTAGCCTGATACATAGTATGTACTCCACTTAGAAAAAAAATTACAAAATATATAAGTAGTTAAGTTAAAAAATAAATAATAAAGATTAGAGATTATAATATTGACCTTATAAGGTAATGAGAATTAAAAAAAAAATGTATAAGCCAAACTGATGCAATGTTAAATGTATATAATTTTCTCATGTCTAATCTACTTTTAAACAGAATTCACCTGGAAATGTTCAGAATAAATCAGACCCA